TCTAAAATGAGATGGATAATGTGAAAAGATACATTTTGTACACTTTTTTCTTTCATGCACAAAGACTGTAGTCATTTTGTTTGGATGATAATGTTAATTTGTAAAGATTAAAAAACATAGCCAAAATTCATACTTAAAACACACTAACATACTTTTACTATCTGTTTAAGTGCACTTGATGATAACTTCAGACTTTTTAATGCTTAAGATAATTAAGTAGTCCTAGCCCAGTCCAATGATAAATAACACACAACTGTAGAATACATTTGAGATAAAAGCATTAAATTATCTCCTTGCCTATACAAATCTTTGATTTTTAGTCAAATTTAATTTAATTATTTTTTTTTCAAACATTAGTTTAACTATTGATACTGGTTTGGCTCAGATTAGATTGCATTATGTTAGATTATTACAATTATAATCAGTTGTATGAATTTATCTTTAGTTTTTCTCAAAGAAGATGAAGTAGATAAATTAATTTCAGAAATGGAAAGCATTATATGAGTAAATGATTTTGGTGAAAGAATAATTCAGTTTTAGAAAGTTCAAAAATATTTTCTTTGTGTTGTATGTACAGAATGATCATGGCATCTCTGTGTGTTAATTAGAAGTTATCTTGTAAGTTCCCCTTTCTTCTCTCCATTAATTTCCTGTGTTCTTTTCGTATGCCGTCTTTGGTGTCGACAGTTATAAATTGTTAAGGCACTTCGTAATAGCTGTTTTAGTCTTTTACTATTATGGATGCTGTTATATCTTTTTTGAAGTCACATTGTGTCAATCTTCAGTTTGTGATTTATTGAATTTATCAGGATATTCTTTAATTGGAAGATTTAGGAAATGTGGATCTTCCTAATTTCAATTTAAGGTATAGTTCCCATCTGAAAGTAGTTCAGGTGTTTTTCTTATTCAGAGGCAGCTCAATTTGAAATGCCATGTTCATTTTTATGGGCAGTTTTGGCCAAAAATATCATTTTCATTCCTCACTTTGACCAGTCATGCAAGTTATGTCTGCACATAATGGACAAAATATAGCCCCTTGAAATTCAACACGATACAAACAAATCCAATACTATGGACAGTGTTGGCTTGAAATATGATAAAAGAAAAATAATTGGCAAGTCCAATACTAAGTAGGCCATTATGATCGATTGGTAATTTTGTATCAATTTTTGAATTAATTTTACATTAAACTACGTTAGAGTAACTTGAAGTAGTTTAATTTTATCTGCATAGACTACTTTCAAAGTTACAACATAAATTTGTATTTAAATTAACTGGACAAATAAAACTGTAACTGTTGAAATATAAAGAAAAGTACAAATACAATTGTTATAATTATCTCAAAGATAAATTTTAGATTGATTAAAACTAAAAATCCATGCAAATCGTTTAGTCATGAGTGTCAGCCTAATGATGCAGAAAGCTTAGATCCAAATAAGATGGCAAGAAATCTGGTTTAGATGCCTCTCTCTTCTGTTGGGTGGCACTTCAAAGTTGAAGTTAATTTGACCTCATTTTTCTGGTCTGTCTGAAAATAGTTATGTAGCATCTCAAACAAAAATTACATATGAGTTAAAGTTTTTCAATAGCTTGACTAAAAGAAATATACAGGAGAACAGTGGTTTTAGAGCAAGATTCCCTGTCAAGAAACTTATTTTAACACCCATCCATATGAGAAAAATCTGAAATCTGTAAAACCTAGTCTTTTGTACTGGGTAGTTACTAGGAGGAATTTAGTGATGCAGCAAGGTACAGTCGACCCCCCTATAATTACGATTCCTATAAAACTACAAAAAAATATACGTATTTTGGAAATGTTGAGTCGGATTAGTGTAGAATCGATTAATTTTATGGAAGAAAACCTTTCAATCAGCCGTAGTCCGTAAACTTGACACGTGTTGGGCTGTGATTGGAACGACTTGTAAGAATTCGGATTCCTAATAAATTGGAACGTATCTATATGTTATAGGGGGTCGACTGTACTTGCTTTATGACAGTGGTGGTAAGGCATAGAGTGGCTTGAATAAATTTTGTCTAAATCCTAAATACTCAACCTAACGAGAAGAGGAATTTGAAAAATTTTTATTTGGGGTAATGTATATCCACAGTGGCCAAAATTGCAGCAGCTTTATATTGGATCCCTACTTCTAAGTAATAAGGGGGTTTGATTAATAAGGGTTGCTATTCCTCTACATATATACACAGTATATAGATTATATATAAAATACTCCAATATAGAATGCTGTTCTCATATTTCTGATATGGCTCTTATTGTGACCAGGTTTGGCCACCCCTGATATATGTAATAGTTTGTTGACATGTACTGTACAGGATACCCTCCCTGCTTTTGGAAGTTTAGAAATGGTTGTCGTAAGTTTAACAGACTCGCTCTCTTTAATATTTTACAAAGCATATAAATCAAAGTACCATTCTCTCTCACCCAAACTAAACAATCCTGTATATAGCATATTGTAATGAAATTGCAATCTGTTGTATACTCTTAATTAGCCAATGCCTCGCATTAACCATTAGTCTGTTAAATTCATTTAGTTTGGATGTTTTGTGTTCAGTTTTTTAATACAGTATTGTTTGTTTACAATTAAGAAGATATTATTTAATCTAGATCAGTGTTTTTTAACCTGTGGGTCGCGACCCCCAGGGGTCACAAAGCCTTACACGGGGGTTGTGGATAAAAGAAAAAGACAAGTGTTTGTAGGTCCTACACTACAATAAAAAAAACTACAATTTCAGTGAGAAGGCTTTGTCTGTTTATTTACAGTAAATTGGTTTTTCGATTGATATTTAGGGTCTCAACAGAAAGAAAATTAAATACATAGTTTTTAAAATCACTGATATAATTTTAATATGGCCCGGGGGGGTCGCCAGAATTTTTTAACTTGTAAAGCGGTCACGTATTCAAGAAGGTTGAAAAATGCTGATCTAGATCATTCAGTTAAATAATTGCATTGAAATTTTCAAAATTTTCTATAACATGAACGTTCTGTGAACGTTGTAAATATTTTATTTAATAACAATTTTTTTAAATCTCAGAATTAAAATTTTTTTTGTGAGAAACTGTTCTTTAAGTATAATAATTATTCAAGACACAGAAGGGGGATTATCATATGAAACAAGAAAACTATTGAGATCAGAAGGCTTGTAACAATCACACAGATTGATGGTGAGGTGGGTTGCATATATTTTTTGTTATGGAGTTAGTCTTTAAGCTTGCCAAGTATCGACATACTCCATAACTCCGGTATGCTAGGTATTAAAATAATACAGTATATTCAAACTAGTAATGTATTTTTTATTCTTATGTATTTCACTGGTCAAATTTAGTTTGAGTGTTCTTCATCATGAATATTGACTAAGGGTTGCATAATGGCACAAGACAGAAAACAGGAAAAAAAAATTATGTTGCCAATGCTTCAAGGGTTGTGGGCTGCTAGTGACTGACGTGGAATGTACGAGTGATAAATAAAGACTCATAGAACATACAGTAAATCCATAAAAAGAAACTAAACTGCAAATAGAAATAATTTTAATATTTAAACTTGAAAAACATGACCAACTAAAGCATTTTTTTAAGATTGGAGTTGAAGAATGGTGGTGTGGCCTCACTCCATTGTTTATATCACTACAGTGTACTTACACACAGGCATTTGCATAATGTTTATTGTGTTTTGGGGTCTGGCCTCTCCCTTAAAACAACATTAAAATGCATTGTTGTCAGGATCAGTTATTCCCCAAAGTTTCAGCATTGATTTTTAATTAGGAACAGATGAAAAATTTGAGTTTCAAGATTTGAGGACATCATACAATGCAAGTTAAATAATAGCATTTAAAAATAATTGAGAACATTTTTTACTGTTAATTTTTCAACTTTATGAGTACCAAGAGAGCCAATTTTGGCTTTGGTCATGCCCATAACAGGAGCATCTGATGTCAAACAAGGGGACCTCATATATGCAAATCAGTCCATCAAGAATATTTCTAAGTCAACCCAGACTCAAACTCAAATCCTTTAGAACGGTAAGCAGTTGCAATTATCACCTTGGCCATCCAGCTGCTATAGCAAATGGAAAGGCAAATAATGTCTCAAACCAATTGAATTTTGCTAATGTTAAAACATTAAGATCAGTAATTGGAGTCATGCATTTGAATCTACTGGCAAATTAATATAGTAGAACTTATTCAGTTTTAATGGAATAAATTGCCAGCCAAGACAGTCAAAGTGTTGGTCTATGGTTCTCGGGACCCTGGGATCTAATCTGACAAGCAACCTTGCGAATTTTTGAGGAGGGTCTACCCCATATACATTGGGCCCACTTGGTCATTCCCCTTGATCAAAGCCACAATGAGTATGATTTTAAAGGCCTTCTTAGTGCCTGTGGGGCAAAAAAAAGAGGAAAATGAAAAGAAAAATAGTGATTAGACACAGTTGGAAAGAAGAATCCTAACAATGTGTTGAAGAATTACTTCCTGGTATAGAAGATTGAATGAAATGGTAATATACAAAACATTTTGGTATTAATTTACCTGGGGAGATAAAAAAAAATGAGAGAAATTAGGACAAGACAGATTGAATTGATTATTGTTGTGATAAAATTGATTTACAGTTTCATTATGTACAGTACAGTATAGTCATAGTTGATGTATACTACCACTATGATCAATGTGCACTGATGCATGAAATTCTTGAGAAAACTTCACGTTGTTATGCTACGGTACAGAAGTAATTGCATAATATATTATAGTTATATAAATTTTAAACATACATGGACTGAAGATACCTTTTCAAAAGATGAATGTTTCATTTCCTCTATCATCACTAATTAAACAAGTATTTTTCATGTTAATAGCCATCAAATTCTTTGTTTAATTAATCCAATAAATATCTCTGATATATTGAAATGTATCATTAGTTTCATTTTAAGCAACTTAATTGCTTATTTTGCAAAAATACTAACATGAAAAAATAATAAAATTTAATCGATTTTTCGTTCATCAATGATGACAAATCATAATGTAAACAAAGCTAAATAATTATAGCTGTAAAAATCATTGATTAATTGAATAAGATAGGCCTACATCTTTACTATTGTTCAAGATAAACTTCCCTGATAGAAATCCCTGTTGAAGCTCTCGGACGCATTTTATTTTTTAAATCAATTCATAAATACAAACGTACACACACAACTGAATCTTGGAATAATGGACTGTTTCTCATGATCCTGAAGTCAAGCTTATGGGCTGATTACGTATTGATGCAGAGTGCTTAAGGATTATAGCTTGATACATCTTTATCCATGACACTTAAAATTAATGTTAAAATATCGTAAAAGAATGATGACCTTCGAATTTCTAAGCTTCTTATACAAACAATTTCTGAATTTTAAGAAATCAAATTATCTCCAATGAGATTCGTGAATACTGCACATTTACACATTTAATTTAATGAAAGTGTGCAAATAGTAATATAAAATGTTTGAACGCAAAATGCGTTTTGAAACGTGCTTAACATAAAATCCATGGACGTTTCCGAGTTAACACCATTCTTAAATTAATTTTCTCACGTTCGTGGATATTCCTGGGGTATTGGTTGCACGTTAGCTCCTGATAACGTGGAGTTTTCCGGGATATTTTCACGTGTATAACACCTAAATGGGGCCCAGTTTTCTACAGAAAGTCCTCTCGTGAGGCACCTTCCCTTGACAGATCGCCCATGTGTTGCATTGCCTTATTCCTATCAATCCTATATTACCTTATCCAAAGATTCTTCACTGATAATTATTCACTTCAGGGATACTTTCGTGAATAATTATCATCCATGAAGGAATCTTAACACGTTCATTTGAAGATGTCTTCGAAGTAACTTGGACATCGTGTCCATGATTGATTTCAATGTGCCTACCACAAGAATAAAACACGTTAAAATGATTTTGATGTCAAAAATATTCGTAATTTTACTTGGTAATAGTTTCTATTATCCTAACATTTCAAAATATAAAAAATAATTATTAAAATTATTTTTAAAAAATGTAACTGATGATGATTATAATGGCCATCACGAGAGCCTGTTGAAGACTTCACTTATATCCTTTAAAGATGTATATATTTCTACAGAATATATTTTACTGAGAAATTAACGTGAAAGTGTAACGTTTAGGAAGAAAATCTATAACAAAATTGGAACTGTTCAAATACCATTGAACACTCGTCTTGCACTAAAGATGATTCAATAATCTGAGCTACAGTTACTCCTTCGAGTAAAACAATGGTGTACTATACTACTGATTGAACATATCTATTGAATATAATGTGAACATGTCCATCAACTTACTCTAGTATAACATGTTCATGTATAGCCTGTATAATTGAGTGGTTGAACATGTTCTCGTGGGTCCAACGCAATGGTTGAATGTAAATTTCTGTCAAAACTTCAAACAGCAGTTACTTTATTGAATATTTTATTGCTATTTTTATCAATTTTACGAATTATTTAACTAAATTTTAATCGGGGTTAACATTTAATTAGGATAATCTGTTTATCTTGAACACGCGCTACGTTCCAAATAGTTTGTAGATAATTAATACGTTTGTACAGACGTAATTATACACGTCTGAACACGTAAAATTTTCGAGATTTTTCGAAAGAAACAGTATTTTTTTCTGTGTTAAATACACTTAAATGCCTTCATCTCCGAGGTGATGATTTGAATCCATCATCATTCACGTGGCGAGAACACTGTTTTATCAATAAACTATTAAACAAATGATTGAAATCTTTACTCTCTTATAGAAAATGCAGTTTTCTTGAAGCATTTCCCGTATAAAAATCGCAATTTATTACACGAATTTCTCGCTTATAAGCAAAGGAAACGTGCGCATTATACAAGGTAAAGGCGGCGAATTTCCGGATGTACGAGGTTACAACCGGATTTCCGCTATCGGTAACGGTCAGAGGACGCATAAATGTTGGAAATAATGAAAGGTTATGTTTTGATAAGTGATAATATCAAATTTCTGGCGATTTATTTGACATATTTCGGAAAGGAATCTTAAGGGGGAAACGTGTATATATAACAAATCACTGCAAAGTGGAAAATCGTGTTTCCCCATTTACCTCGTAAGCAAAAGTTTACTTTGATTTATTGGTGGATTGATTGATGTGACGACTCTAGAGGGGGGTAGCTTTATCTGGAGAAGTTTTGCCACTATCTACACACTTAACGATGCATCCTCTATTGAATCACGTTCCTACCCATCGACAAATTTCTCCAATAACCTTGAAAGTTTCGCGTATTTGTGAAGTTTTATATGATTTTCGACTGCTGATGTGACTATTTTACGCATTTCATTTAAAATAACAATCTTTAAAGCTGAAATCTCGCTTAAAAATCGGAGGAATGGACGATTTCCTGTCGATTTTAGTTAAATTAATCGACTTTTCTGCTTCGGTAATCGATTCTAGAAAGGAAATTGTTTGCTCATCTGCAGAAATGTTTTATTTAAATAAAACATTTCAGCACAGAAAACATCTCATTTTACAGAAAAATTATTTTTTTTCTGTAAAAATGTGGTAAGAGTAACTGCAAGGAAACTTTAAAGGAATTTTTATAATAATTTTTGGACTTTTTAAATTATTGTATTGTATCTTATAATCCTTCATTCACAGAATTATTGATTTAATTGATTATAAATTAATTTATCATCATTATCTGTAATTAATTCTAAACTTTCTATGTTACAGATGAAGTCTCGGAATTTTGATAGAGTAGAGAAGGTAAGTTCTGTGACAATTCTTGTCTTTCTGACTTATAAAACTCTAAACCTCATCCTTATAACATTTCTTAACTCCTATTCTATATGAAATTCAGCTGTTTCAAAGATGTCTCATGAGAGTGCTTAACATTGACTTGTGGCGTTGCTATTTGGGATATGTCAAGGAGACAAAGATGTCTTTACCCTCGTACAGGTAACGTATTGATTTGATGTAGTGAATTTTGAATTTAAAGTTGTGATCTAATCATAAAGAATACAAAGAATTTTCTGACATTGAAAGTTTTTTTTATCTCTTTGTGCGTACGGAGTCACCGGTAATTAGTGATTAAACTTTAAAGAATGGTTACAAGAAGTCTTTGTGAGTGTGCGATGGGTGCATCTAGACTCTGTTGCCCGGGACCACCCGATGACAGAGTTTAGTTGCATCTTGGCATCAACATCAGAAAGATCTTGACATGTTGATGGCACGTGATGAGTTGGTTCATGCAACCATTAGTCCACCTTCCTTCTTATACATCTTTTCCTCTTGTTCTCTCTTACCTGGCTCCAATCAGTTATCATCCATAATCCCTATAATCTGTAATCTCTGCTGCAAAATCTCTCATAATTAATGAATACACTTTAAAAGCCAGTTAGGAATCTCTCGGGATTACAAGATCTTTTGTAACTTCTTGTTAGGCTTTGGAGATTGGTTAAGAAAACTCTTTGTGTCTACGAATGATTAGACTTTAGAATCTTTTATTGAGATTTAAAAAAACTATCAAATTAAACTAATAACAGAATTAATTGTAAATCATTTTTATATAGAGAAAAAATGGCACAAGCATATGACTTTGCACTAGACAAAATGGGGATGGATATTATGTCTTATCCTATTTGGAATGATTACGTTAACTTCCTAAAGAGTGTGTAAGTAGGCAATTTAGATTTTAAATATCGTGTACAAATGATTATCTTATAACTTTGCTTAAATTTCAGCGAAGCTGTCGGTTCTTATGCTGAGAACCAGAGAATTACAGCTGTCAGAAAAGTATATCAAAGAGGCATCATCAATCCCATGATCAATATTGAGCAATTATGGAAAGATTATGTCTCTTATGAGCAGGTAAGCACTTTTTGTTTTGTATCTTAAGCTTCATTAACCTTACATGCCTAAAAATTAAACTGTGTTTCAGGGAATAAATTCCATCATTGCCGATAAGATGGTTGCCGACAGAAGTAGAGACTATATGAATGCCAGGAGAGTGGCAAAGGAATATGAGGCGGTGACAAGGGGACTAAATCGTAATGCTCCTTCTGTTCCGCCACAAGGAATTCCCGAAGAGTCCAAACAGGTATGTTTTTACTTACATTTGTCAAATTCTGAAGTTAAATTGATCAGTTCCACTTTTGACTGTTCCGTGCCTAAAGCTGTCCCATTACTCAGGTTAAAAACATTAGCATTATTTAAACTTCATCCAATGATAAAGGCATATTGATTAATTTGGCCAAGTAACAACAGTATCTTGTTTTTCCTTATTAAATTTTGAAATGCCCATCTATTATATACAGGTTGAATTATGGAAAAAATATATAGCTTGGGAGAAAAGTAATCCTCTAAGAACAGAAGATCATGCAACAATTACTAAAAGAGGTAATATTTCTTGTTTGCACGATTTTGAAAATTATTTCTAGCAATTTTTTCATTATTAAACAGGTTTGTTAATTTTATTACAGTTATGTTTGCATACGAACAGTGCCTTTTGTGCTTGGGTCATCATCCTGACATCTGGTATGAAGCTGCACTCTTTCTAGAAATGTCAAGTAAATTATTAATAGAAAAGGGGGTAGGTTATACATTTAAATCATTTTCATTATAGATCCATGTTTCTATAATTTATATTTATATGGTTACGTTATAGTTATTTTTCAATTTTAATGAATGTACAGGTTGTATACAATTTAATGTACACGTAGAATGATTCTAACACTTAGACTTACAGCAAATTAACACAATTTCTCAATTTTTTCCTTAGAGAGTTGATTTTGTTAAGTATTCCAGACTCAATTTTACATACAATTTGTATTTATATGTACTGTACTGTACAAGAGCAGATTTATAGGAAGCTGATTCATTTGTAAAATTATAAATTCAATTATTTACAATATTTGAAAATGTATTTTAAAGGATATGAATGCTGGCAAACTGTTTAGCGATGAAGCTGCTGCAATATACGAAAGAGCGACGACTACGCTTCTTAAGAAAAACACGCTTTTGTACTTTGCCTATGCTGATTTTGAGGAGGTAAGATTTGTTTGTGGCAGAAGTATTGACTTATGTATAGGACACACATTGCAATACTTTTCTACCTGTGTTTGTAGAACTGGAAGATATACACTCTGTCCAAAAAGTTACTATGCACTGAGAAATTTGTAATGACATTAAAGTTATATGTATAGCATTGCATACAAGATCTGTAAGTTGTATGTCCTGTATTTCCACTCTGTAGTAGATGATGTTACTGCTTGCTCCACTCTGCAGTAGATGGCATTACTGGAATTGCCTACCCATATTTGCCCAGACTTGGTTCGCCAAGAGTGAGATACAAGTCCATATTGGCCGAGTGATGGTGGTTTTGAGGATTGAGTAACAAATACTCCCTGTGGAGCTTGTATTTCATAATGATGGGAACTTTGTAGATACCATGTAACAAAGATTTGTCTGACGGTTTCTGGATGCACGAGTCCCCCACAGTAATGCCATGCAAAATTTGTTAGCCAAATTTTGGAAAATGGGCAGTGTTGCAGACACTCCTCAAATTGGTAGGCCCACAATTTTAGAAGTTTGAGATCTGGGGCATGATGCTGAAGCTGAAGAGTTTTACTTAAATCTTTTCCACTGCATGATAACTTTTCGGACGCCCTGTATTACAAAACATTACATCTTCTGTAGCATGTTCATTTTAGTAATGCAGAACTGAATCAAATATATTTGTGAATTTCAGGGAAGAATGAAATATGACAAAGTTCACCAGATTTATAATAAATTTATAGACATTCCAGACATCGATCCGACTTTGGTAGGTAGCATGTCTTTTGTGGAATGTGACTTTATGAATATGGAAACATAACATTTAAATGTAACATTTTACAGGCTTATATTCAGTATATGAAATTTGCAAGGAGAGCAGAAGGTATTAAAGCGGCGAGAGCAGTGTTCAAGAAAGCGAGAGAAGAAAATCGCACAAAGTATCACATATTTGTCTCCGCCGCACTCATGGAATATTATTGCAGTAAGGTAAATAGATACACTGGGAATAATTTCATTTTATTTTTTAAAATATTTCATCAGCATGGTGTTCTTCTAACAGGATAAGAATGTTGCTTTCAAAATATTTGAGCTAGGATTAAAAAAGTATGCAGATAGTCCAGACTACATTCTTGCATATATTGATTATCTTTCACATTTAAATGGTAAGTGTACATTTGTATGCTGTTTATTATATTTTGTGATCTCTTGATTCAAATGATTATCTGTATTCCAGAGGATAATAATACAAGAGTGTTATTCGAACGTGTCCTGACTTCAGGAAGTCTAGCAGCAGAACGTTCCGTGTAAGTTTGGTTCTTAAATCTACAATAGTGTAATCTTGTATAGTTTTTATACTCTTCATTCAAACTTTTGATTGAGCACAATATCACGAATGCTACAGACACTTTCTTAACTGCAATATTCATTAACTGTGATCTGCAAAATGATAACAAAACATTAACTTATTCTACATCAAATTGGTAGATGTTCTTTAACGAAAATGGCAGACGATAGTACACAACATATTTCTTTAATGTTTCCCAACCATCTGAGGGGGATAATAAACAACAGCAGAAAGAATTTATAAACAAAAAAACACAATCTTATATCACTCCAACAATTAAATTTTAATGATCCCAACTATGTTTTCAATCCAGTTTAATGGATCTTCTTCAGTTGGAGAATAAAAAAATGAGAGTAGAACATACAAAATTTAAAGTTAAATGTACACTTGTATGTACATATAATGTGTACATATTCACCCTAAGGTGTATATTTTATGTTTTCACACATTAGAGAATCAAACACTTTTGTTAAATAGTTTTATTATTGCTACTATTTTAACCTTTTCAATACACCAAGGAATAAGCATTAACCAAATGGGATTCCATTGAGTCTAAGTATGGAGCTCTGTGCAAACACACCAGTCCTATCCCATAAGCCAGTTCTAATAAAGTTCAATGCAATATTCAGAAATATGATGATATAGTAATTAATTAACATTTATGCAAATGAGCTAAATTAAATTAAATTATACACACTACATATGTGAATACTTTAAATTTGGTTATGTAACCAAAGCTGCTAAATTTTTTACTTGTTTTTAATTACTTGATTAACAAAATTTGGTGGACAAAGTTGCCATCTTGTGAAAAATTTAATAACTAGAATTGTCGATTTTCTTAATTAATAACTTTGAAAATGTCTAGAGAGAAGATCGGTACGGACCGGGATTCCAATCCGCAACACTCGCAGGCCGTCAGGTATGTTACTAGTTACACTTTCCGAGCTTCGAACCAATCTTTTCTCTAGACATTTAAGTAATTTAGAATAATTATGTAGCCAAACTTGTTATGTTACTGTTTGTATAAACATGCAGAACAGAAACATGCACTCTCTAAAGTTCTTCATCTCAAGTCATTTGTATAAATATGTAAATAGCTGGAGATTAATTACCACAGAAGACTAGATTTATAGTATATTTGCACTCAGAATAGACTTTTCTGTTTTTCTTAATTATGTAAGAGGGAGGTTAAAATTGAATCAAAAGCAAAATATATTTTCACTATACAAATTAGACATTGGCATATCCCTCTACAGTATTGACTCCAACTGTAATTTGTGGTAATATGTATAAAAAATCAATCACGAATTTGGTTGATAATTTATCTTCTAGTTTTGAGTAGATGTTTAGTTTATTATCTTATTTATCTCATTCACTTGTGGGAATATACACTTAATATCTGTTACCTATAATCCAAATAGTTCTGTGTAGCAAAGTCAAAGATTCCTGGTTTCTAAATTAATTTTCCAAACAGTGTATTTAGTACATAAGAAATGATATAACTTCCAATATATAAATTCATGATTTTTAAATTTCCTCTTAAAATGTCAACATGTTTAGACCCACCAATGGCTGAGCAGATCAAACCACTGGATGCTGATAGTCTGTCACAGGTTTGTACCTCACCAATATGGTTGGTCGTGTAGAGTTTTTTATATTTTCTTCACATGTCTAACATCTAAACAGAGGTCAGTTTTCCAAAAAACTCCTCTCTGGAGGCATTCCCTTTGCAGATCGATTACCCATATATTTCATTGCTATATTCCATATAACCAAAATCAAAAAGTTTAGAAAAAAATAGAACAATTAGAGAAAGGGGGAACAAAGAACAAGGCAAGCAGCATAAAATTTATATGGTATCCCAGTTTGTGAATATCTGATTAAGAATAGCATAACGATGCTTTCTCGGCCATTTTATTTCTTTCAAGACTTTTATACATACACTAAAATGAAAGAGAATTTGAAGGGTTGCAATGAAGAGTGAAAACAGCAGCAAAGAAAGCCTATAAAGGTAAATGTAAACTTCTAGGACTGCTTTGATAAGTGGTATGGATTCAGACAAGTGTGTGTAGCTACAGTAGGAGTTTATTTCTTACTCCTAAATGTTAAAATTTTCTAACAAATTTAAAAGCATATAATATAAATAATAAATAGAATCAATTAATGTAGATGAAAAAAATTATTAGATGTAAGCTTAGTATCTCTTTACAAGTTTGACATAAGCCAACTTCTTGTTTGAACCAAGTTAGAGTGTTAAATTGAATGAAATTGTGAAATTTTTATTTAATTTCACCTTAAACACAGTGAAAATTTTCTGGTGGATCTCTGTTTTTCAAATGAAATTGCATGGCAAAGTCCATCAATGGGCCGAATACAGCAAATTAAGAACATGTTTGTATGCAAATGAGGCCGGCCGTCTTCTTGTAGTGTCACGTAATAATCCCATTGATTGATTGATTGATAGGATAAGGCTCTGTAAATATATATCAGTCAATTTGGAGTAATTAAAATGTGCTTTTGACAATTACATTAATATTAAATATCTAAAATAAATAAGGCCCACCAGTGGCCGAGTGGTCTTCGTACCCTAAACACTGGGAGTTCGGTCATGGGTTTGCGCCGCGATCGGACAGGCTGGCTGCTTGGAGTTTTCCGGGTTTTCTCCTTGCCGATAACGACTAAATAGGAGGCCAGTTCCCCATAAAAGTCCTCCCGGAAGGCATCCTTTCCACAGAGAAGGCAACGGGAAACCACTCTGGGTACTAACCTTCCCTAGTAACACCCTGGCGTATTATTAACTGCTTACTAATATGCGCCAGGTGTCGCCAACGTCAGAAATCTGATATGGCACCAAGAAGAAGAAGAAAATAAATAAATTAACTTTATGATATCAGATGGTATGAGTCTCTCCCATCTTAATATTAATAGTGTTTGATAAATTTGAATCCTGCTCATAGATATAATTCTTATTCTATTAATTTGTGTAAGAAAACATAAAGCAGAGCACTGTTAATTTCAGGATACCATCCCATGGATCGTCCATAAATTATGTAATACTATTTTTATATTTTTCAACACCAATGCCCTGTGATGCTGTCAATCATACCTGCCCTCAAAATTACACAATGCATATTGTCAAACAACCCACTTAATTATACTAAGGAATAATACATAACACAGAGTTTCATTTTTTTTTTATTTGTGATTTTAGGCCCTTTACCACTCAGAGAGCACAAAATGGCCAGATACACAACACAGAATAACACACATTACATTATTTTATTAATTATGGGTATAAAGTACAAAACAATGATGTAATTGGTATGCAGCACTTCAGAAATAAGATAAATTGTTCCATTGCCCACAGGTCAAGACCCTAGCTTTATGTAGCATTTCTGTAAACACTCCACCCCCTGTAACACATCATAATGATTACCTAAACACCCACTCACCACTACCTACATTTGTAATTTATGGACAGCCTATAAATTGTTTCTGATGGATAAAACTATATTTTATCCAGATTAAATCTGATGTGGACTCTGTATTATGTGAAATTTGGTTACTTGTGCCATTCTCCTCTGTTGCCCATGATAATCAACCTCATTGTCAGTCCGACTAATCCACAATTGGTGAAAATTGAGGCTGGTCATATATCTTCAAAACTTACTGGTAGACATTTTGATAAATTTCACAAAATTAAATCAATTAGTGTTGAGTAAAGCTTAGTTCACACTGGGAGCGATTCGCTAGCGAAAGCGAAAAACAGAGCGAATAACCCATCAAACGAGTCATGTTTGACCAGCTATTCGCTCTGTTTTTCGCTTTCGCCAGCAAATCGCGCTCAGTGTGAACTAAGCTTAAGTGTTCACCTTTTTCCTAGTTAAATCATAAACAGTGTAGTAGTTGTACAGTACATATGATATAACACAACTTTAAATAAGTTTTTAGTGTCCAGTCCGGTGTGCCAACAAATTAATGATGAGAAGGAAACAATTTTTCTCTGTGTCACCTGTTTATTATTAATTGTTGAACTTATTTTCATTAATTTCCATGTTCTCCAATAAATTCTTGTAACTTATTAAAGATTTTTTTATTAATTTTCAGAGAAATATGGAATAAATTTCTAGAGTTTGAATCTAACATTGGAGATCTGTCTAGTATATTAAAAGTTGAGAAGAGAAGGGCAGCGATAATTGAAAGCGTAAGTAACCCGATTTAATTAATCACTACAATTCAAAATATATATTTAATTTACCATTCGAATCTACAGCTGAAAGAGTTTGAAGGCAAAGAGACTGCACTTCTCGTCGACAGGTATAAATTTCTAGATCTCTACCCCTGTTCTCCATCAGAATTAAAAGCGATAGGTTATAGAGTGAGTATATTAATTTTATAATTTGAGTTTTACTATTGAATTATGTTATGAAGCATTGTTTTTTTCCTTATTAGGAATTAGCAAAGCAGCATGTAGTTAGTTTACCAGCCACATCGGTAGTAAAACGAGAAACCATTCTGGACGACGACGACGAGAATGGAAGAAAACCAGCATTCCCTCGTCCCGACACTAATCAGATGATTCCTTTCAAACCCAGGCAGATATATCGTAAGTTTTTCTTACAAAAATTTATTAGCATTACTTGAAATTGCCTTTATGGAAACTTTACACCCATATAGAAGTATAAAGATTACTTTGGTTAGTATAGACAAGCTTCTAAAACAAATATCGTTTTTATATTCCAGCTACCTTAGCTCATCCTGTCGCAGGAGGTGTTTTCCCTGTTCCTCCCGCAGCTTCCTATCTTCTTACTCTGTTACCTCCACCAACATGCTTTCACGTAAGTTTATGTTTACTGTTTTTATACTATCGTAAATACTAGATATTGATATTTTACAATACATCTTATAGGGTCCATTTGTCGGCATAGATAGCCTTATAGAGATATTCAAGAACTGCACTCTTCCAGAAAGTCGTAAGTATGAGATCCAATGAGAAAATTTACATGCAAGCAAATGATTTCTAATGGAAATTTTTTAACTTTTTAGCTCCCGTACCCGCAGAAAATGGTATAATTAAAGATGGAGAAAAGTTATTTGAACATGCAATTCAAGCGATGGGAAATTCCACGTCCAGTGCGACCAAGAAGAGGAAAGTGGGAGAGGACGGCGCTAACGAAGAAAGCGAAGAAGAAGACGGAGGCATGGTGCCACCCATCAAAGACATTTATAGAAGCAGACAACAGAAAAGAGTTAAATAGATGGAAGTGAGACTATTCAGTTTTATGCTTTTATTGCACCATATCATCATGGACAGATAACATTGAATCATCCTGATTGTTTCCATTCCACTGTAAATTCATTTTTTCATTACTGTATAGACAAAATTTGAAGATGATACAAATAAAAAGGTTTTGTATATTTATCAATTCTTCTTCTGTCATGTTAAAAATCCCTCTATAACTATACTAACTTACAAAGTTATAAATTTGATGAATACATATCTGGTATCAAAGGGATGGGAACCAAAACTAAAAGTTCATATACATCCAAATATCACCTAGCATTAATTACATAATTTAAATTTTCAAGATCCACAGATCCTCATGTAACATTTCAATTTACACAAAATTTGCTACTTATAGATGGCCAAAGAGTAAAGACAAGGGTATCAACAGGTTCAAATCTGGGTCAAATTCTCAAAATTTTCTCAGATGATTTCACCTGGGCAAGGGACAGTGTGTGTTAAATTAAGTGCAAGAGGGCTCGTACCCTCTTGCACTTAAAAGAGGTTAAAACAGAGTAGTCTAAAAAAGAAGTTAAAACAGGTAGTTGGGTGCAAACTTGCACCCAACTAACAAGCCGTCTTATGGAATTTTCCAGGTTTTCTTCATGCATCTAACACCTAAGCAGTGCCAGTTTCCCATAGAAAGTCCTGCTGGGAGACATCACCCAAACATTGCATTACCATATCCCATCAAACTAACACATTCCTCACTACTTAGCCATATCATTTTGTCATGGCCAAAATGATATGGTTAAGTAGAGTACAATATACTATAGTACTATAGGTAACAAAAGATGTCTGAGGAGGTGGAAAGAACAAAATAACCAATATCATTCTGACTGTTGCATATTAATCAGCAGTTTTCTCCGAGGATCTGCTTTGGAGCAAACCCTTCTTGTAATTGGATAGAAGATTGCAGTTTAATCCTTATCTTCTCAGCACCTAAATTTGAACAGTTTAGCTTAGTAAGAAACAATCAGCATGTAACACACTTCACCTTCACAGGGATTCAGACATTGCAACAAGTTGCCACATAAAAGAAAAAAAAAAAGGCAATACTGAAAGAAATATAGGATAAAGCAGCTTACCTTTTTTTCTTATTTACAAAGCACTCAATTCATGTAAAATGGAAGAAACAAGTTTTATTTGAAAATAAACCAGATTTTTTTCCTCTTCCTCTTCAAGATACTCCTTAAATAATTGATCAGCCTTGAAGAGAGTAGAGGTTTCAAACACCAGGAGAAATCAGACGCAGTTTTCTTGTTTTTTTCCTTCTGTAAGAATTCTTTAAGGGCTCTAACTGCAGAGAGCCCCGGCCTCGCCCGAGTCACGTGACTGGCTTTCAAAATTACCGAATTGGTACATTTAAAGGAGAAATTCTGATCTATGATTTCCACATGAAAAAAGAAGAGAGACCATCTAAAAGGTTCCACTTCACACGCGGAATATTGATCTAGATCAGGGGGTGAGGGTTGCGAAGTTGTGTTCTAGAAATAATGCTTTTCTGTTAGATTTTTTCGCTTTTCCTGACTTGTGATCAATAGTTTAAAGATTCTTCGTGAATTCCTCACACGAAATGTAACAAAAAAAAATGTCCACGTGTCCGAGATTTATTAAGATTAGTCACGTGCCACTTTCTACACCCCGTGAAAAGTACGGGATTTATCAATCTCTGGCGGAATTGAGAGGATATAGATAAGGTTCCACACTATTTACAGTATCTACGACGCAGTACATTAAAGACTTTACGGGATAAAGCGGGAACCGAACCCACGTCTCCTTTATATAAACAAGACACCCAATCTTAGAAGCTTTCATCAAGATTATCTTTAAAGATTATCTCGATGTATCTGGGCAGAGTTTACCGTCCTAGTTAAAGCAAACGTTGACATTTCTATTCACTCGGTCAAATATTGACGTAATTTGGATACCGTGTGACGTCACCGACTTGGTTTCTTTAAGACAAGTCGTGCCGAGGATGGTGAATTGCGGAGGATTTTTATTTAAATTGCCAGCAGTGCTCTTGTAAAGGCAGCATTGTTGTTATTGTAAGGCTGCCCGAGTCGATGATTGATGTCAAAAACATCTTTTTTTTTATGCCTCTTGGGGAACTACTTTCATGCCTGGTACACTTGTCCTTACAAACACACAAAAGACAGTTTTCTACCGCGAAACTGCGGAAAAGTTTTTCGTTTTTCTTCTTATTCATGAGAGATTCGAGTCTTTAGAGCAGTTTTTTTTACTATTTCCGGAATAAAAAAATAAATATTTTTCATCTGTTTGAATTATTACTTATCTGTCCATTACTTATCCACTCCTATTCAGTAGCTGCCTTGATTAGTATTCAGTAAGCGTAACTTCCACTCTGTAACTGTGTAAACACCGATTTTTAGTGTTTACTACTTCACATTTTTAAAATTCTACAAGTTTTTAAAGCAGTTTCATCCATTTCAAATGGAACTTAGCAGAATCGAACCTGGTCTCCCCTGGTGAACAGTTTTGTAAGCTTATTTGAACGTACAGTACAAAGTTCTATTTTTTCGTGGATTATATTATAGATTTATAGTAGTCGCGAGCTGTAATAAATATAAGGGCCTTCCCCTCCACTAAATAATAATAAATTTAAAAGCGATGCCCTGAAGGCCTATTTAGTATGAGGCTTCAGACTTTAGCTTAAGTGAGAAGTTAATTTCTGTTATTTCTGAATATTTTTATTAAAATTTCTGGGTTTTTTGTGTAATTTTTGTACGAATCATTAAGTGCGCCAGTTTGTTTCAATATGGCAGCTGTGAAATTCTCTACACTGACACGAAACAAAGTATTTCGAACGATTTGAATAGAAATTTGGCTTACGTCTAGGGCTTAATTTTCCCAAAATATGTGTTACATGCTTAATTATTTAATTGCATAAAAATTAGGAAAATTGCAAACGTAACAACCCAAAAATTTCAATAATAATTCGATTTTGCGCGTAATTTACCTAATATAAAGCGTAACGAAACGTTTGGTTTTAACAGCAAACTAAACAAAACGACGGCGATTTTAGGCACTTGCACTGTTTAATTTTTTCACCAACACCTAAACACAATAGTAGCCCAAAATGGCTGTGCTATGTTCATTTTTTCAGTGTTGCACTGAAAAAATCGGCCATTATGAAAAGTAATGGCCTAAAATGGTCCAGTCTTCTTAGCTTTAGGAAAAAAATTGGTCATTTTACGCTACTAACGATAAAAAATTGCTGCCATCATAAAAAAAATGGCGACCGTTCTATAGATCCTTCCTGTGTATAAGTTCATACTCCCCCCAAAATTTGCCGAATTTTGGATCGGTTCGGCGTTTAATTAACCTTTTTTTCATGTGCCAAACTCTTGAAATTCTCCATTTTTATAGATTTTTATCAAATTAGAAATGGACGCACTCGTAAATCCAGTTTGGAATTTAGCACGAGTTTTGCATAAAGACAATGGTCGGAAATTAATTATTTCCGTCTTAAGCAATATAATGGAGTGAATCCGGCGAGAGAAGAATGAATTAAGTCGTAATTCCTATTAGGTATCTTCATATACAACTCGAGAGAATCAGGATTAGATAATTACTGGAGCAAGTGCATCCACTTTAACGAAAATAGCAATCTACTCTTCATGTTAATTAAACGCGCTCTGTAAACAGTCGACTCGTATCTTTGTGATAAAACGAATTTTCTAACAAATACATAACGTCTCCAGATGAAACTCGACTCGTTTGTTTACTCAAAGCTCCAGAATTGAGCAAAAATATACTTTTCCTTCGAAATATCCACCAAACGTCTAATAGATGGCGCGACTACGTTATAATATTTACATAATTCCATATAAGGAAGCGATTATCCTGACGTGGTATACGATTAGCGAATGGGAAGTGATTGTAGTTTTTAAAATCTCCTTATATGGTATCGTTTTAAAAAAACGGTCGTTTCAAATCGTCCAATCATTGAAATTTGTAACTGATTTAAAAGTTTAAAATACGTCACAATTCAATTAGCGAATCACGTTCTAGGTATGAAAAGTTTAATATTGCCATCATTGTTAATCAAAGTATAATTATAGAAAACTTAAAAAATATAATTTGTTACTACAACAAGTTTAAAATGACGTTATTTCAAATTTTCCAATACTAATAACGTGATTGGCTAATTATGAAAAGCTTAAAATGCGTCATCGTGAAACGAGCCAATTGAGTTTTAATTGCCAGAAATTTAAAATATTTCATTATTAAATTAACCAATCTTGAGAGCGATGGATTTGAAATATAAAAAAAAAAAAACGCGATTTTGAACAGATAGCAAATAATAATGTGAGTATTTTATTTTTAAAAAAACGCAATTTAATTAATAAGATTAAATGCCAACGACTTAGCCGACAATATTAGAACCTTTTTTTCGCCCAAATGTTATAAATTTGGTGGCGTTTGACGCGATTCATTAAAACGGAGGTAATTAACTTCTCCGATATGCGCTATGTAAACGGAAATTATGAGTTATTATCTCCAAAGAATGAAGCCATCGTCGAAAGTGTGATCTGGCGAAATAAAACGCAGTTAAAACACGACTTTTGATGTCAAACACCTTTTCTACTCACTTAATGATGTTAGACTTACAAAGTGAAGCGATTTGAAACATAAAAGACCCCGGTTTAATGGCATTTTAACACGCAATACCGGTAACTCTTACCGGATTGTATCCTAAATTTAATTTTTGCTATGCTTTGGATATATCTTCTTTAGGGGTATAATTTACTATTCCCCCTTTTTTACACCAGCTTTCGGCAGCTTAATAGAGATCAGTCTGTCTCAGGGGTGAGATTTTCCCTTTTTTTCAATCCCAGAAATAGTCTCTGGCAAGAGAGAATTCTGGGATATATAAGACCCAGGTGCATAAATTGTTCGAAAAATTGATTTCGATTGACTAGAGGGGAAGAAATCACTCCAGATTAATTTTAAATTGGTTAAACTTCGTTAAAAAGTGGAGGGGGGAAATGCCTTCTCTGGTTTCGTAATTAATTTTATACCTTTGTTAATGACGAAATTTAAAATAATACATTGAATGGAATTGTAATTGTTTCGTCATTAAATTTCTTAAATATGATTAGACGCTTAAAGATTATTGTTCGCTCTAATTGGTTAAGATCTGTGACGTATTTTAAAATGATTGCAAATATAGATTTAATTCAAAAAAAATTATCAGTTTTTATAATGTGTGACGAAACATATACTTTGTTATAAATTTAAATTTTAAAAAAATATATTATTACGTCATCGAAGTTATAGCTTATTATTGGCTAAATTAGCTAACACGTGATTATATCACCTTTCACTTAAAACTGATTAATTTTTCTAATCGGACAATTTAAAATTTAAAAA